TACCCTCTTCTGTTCCCCCCCCCCCCTCTTTTGAATTTTTCACACTTTGATGTTCCTTCCCCTCTGTGAAGACTGAGGTCAACTAAAGGGCTAATGATAACAATCAAAGCGCCTGCCATTTGATATAATAATAATAATAACGTCCCGAATAAACGCGCTCCGTGCTACACGTCTGTTTCCTTTCATNTTTTTCTACCATTGTGTCTGCCTGTCTCTTTTACATCTGCGAACCACTCTTCTGTTAACCCTCCCCTCTCGACTTTTTTCAATTTGATGTACCTTCCTCTCTGTGAAGCCTGAAGTCAAGACGCCTGCCATTTGATATAATAATTTTTATTTGAATTCCTTCCATGATTAGAAGTTGAACTTTCTATTTTGGCATGAGAAGCGTAAATTATGCCTATCCATCCTCTACTACTAAATAACACGCTTTCACTTCAATCAATTCCTTAAACTTCATCCAAAATTCTTCATTTTCGGAAAAGGACGTCTGGTGAGATAACTTTACATTCAATAGCTCTGGTGCCGTTATTTCTTTATTACCCAAAGCGCGATTGCGGCTTACACATTTACTCGGCTGTTATATTTGTAACACTAGTTTACTCTTCAGCAACCAGCAAAACGATTGCATATGTGGAAGATAATCGTGTGGAAAACGTGGAAAGATTTAATCCATGAGATACAGGAGTTATACTTCTCTACGCTCCACATCAAAGGAGCTTATCTCTCGCAGTATTTTCTCTGATTTCTCTGAATCTACTGTCAAAATTCTGATATGAAACAATCAAACAGCCTTCGCCTTTGATTTGACCGAAATTATTCAGAAATTGAACACTGCAAGTCGATAAAGAGTGCCACACCTTTCGAATAGTGATTCCATCGAATGCAGAAACCACCGCTTCCTTTACCGTGAACTTTCGCATCGAGTTGGCTGTCTCGAATTGCCACTTTTCACTAAATTCTGTTGAGATTATATTTTGCATATTCAGAGCCGGAATCGGCTGTTTCAACATGGTAGACTTCTTTCAAACCTTGTTTTTCCTTGTGTTTTATTAATAATTTTGTAGTAGATAGATAGGCAATGATTTAGCAATATACCAAAGCACTCTTAATCGTCCTTAAAATTTATTTAATGAAAAGATTTTTAATAAGATATTATCTTTTGTGAATCCGTTATCAGCATAATTGAACATACTTGGAATTTATTCACCTTTACTGCAAAATTTTACCATCTTTGAGGAAAAATCTTACAAGGATTTACATAAAACGTTGCAATGAATAGGTATGTCAGTCGGAGAGAATTTATTCATTCCAGTCACTGTTGTTGGATCAATTTATTGATGGATGGATCTTATCGGCCTGTGAAATGATCGAAGGCCTTGTTTACAGTGGAAGAAGCTATACTCCTAGGAGGCATTTGAATTTGCAATGCTAGTGGGGGAGGAGGAATGCACTTCAATAAATCAAGGTCAAGAGAACGATTGGGTGTGTTTGGGTTTGAGAAGAGCGAGATAAATTCGTGAGGGGGTTGCTCAACTCCTTCTAAAGATGCCCTCATCATAAGTGCTGTAAGGGGCTCCAGTAAACCCTGGCGTTGATTGGTGCGCTCATCTACTAACCTCGATGGCTGATTTTGATTTTGAAAAAATCGATTTACATTATTAGTAGCCTCTGTGAGTAGTTCCATGCCCACACTTGCTTGCCGTTTCCACTTGGTCCTAAATAAACAATGCAGATAATTTGGTTGGTGTTTCCAATTATGAAATCTTTTATCATTTAATCCTACCGTCTATTTTGATACCAAGTTTTAACTTGCATATCAGAAAGATGCAATTTCTCGGCTAGTTGCATGCGATCTTGAACAGAGAGGTACTTCTGTCTTTCGAAGGTTCTCTCCAATTCATTAAGCTGATGATCGGAAAAAGCGGTTCGAGCTTTACGAGTTTTCTTGCATTTTCCAATACCACCGTCATCGTTGAGACTACTTCCTTCACTTGTAGTTATCATGCCTCCACCTTTTATTCCACTGTTTTGGATGTTCAAAGTTGAGGATTGCCGAATGTTGTATAGATCGTCAGATCCAAAAAGACATTGGTATGCATCTCCCGAGGTCAGTGTACCTGAAGACCAAAATGAGATAAATTAAATTTAATCAAATGACTCACAGCATAAACACGACTCTGACAAGAAGGTAAATAGTGAAGGGTATGAAGTGCACAATTTGAATATCTTGAAAGTACATATCTGCATATCTGTAGTTGCATTTGCTATCAGACGGAGGCACGACTTGAAAACATGTGTGCTTGATGTTAGCATTCACAATAAGTAGTACATATAAGGTGTTTGAAACATCGATTCTCTTACCACCATTCCAATCGAAATAAAGGTGTTTCATAACAACAAACTTAAGAATTCAATTACAATAAGAGAAACAACAATAGGGACAGCTACGCGAGGACACATCTCTGGAGAATCCCTTGAGAAGTCCCACATCTAGGTCACAAAGATAAGTATGCTTTGGCTTAATCTAAAACTGATTTCGCATAATCGGTACAACCAAGCACTAGAGGGAATGTCCGTGGAAAGTCATGACCAACCAAGACGTCAAGTCAGAATTTGGCTTATACTGTTAAAGGACAGCTGAAGCAGGCACATTAACAGAGAGGTGGGAAATCATTAACAGAATGCGAGTATCCACAGCAACTGTTCGACATTATCAGTGGGATCTGGGAGCAATCTCCGATCGCTTTAACAGTTTAAAGTCTCACGCCACAGAATACAATCTAAAATTCACTCGAGTCTCGTCAAAGAAAAATTTCAAAATGGTATCCCTTATATCTTAGCTCCCACTCCTCTAAAACCACATTATATGCCTGATTTAGGATTAAGTGGTCAAGTAGTAGAAGGGACTTTTATAAGATGCTGAGAGTTCTTACTGAAGCGAGTCATTTATATGTGAAGCCTGAAGTCAACTAAAGGGCTAATGATAACTATCAAAAGGCTGCCTGCCATTTGATATAAATATTGATAAACGATACGTGAATGTAACAAACAAGCCAGCATAATCAAACGACATCCTGAGATTTATACAAAAGAATGAGAATTCTAATTTTATATTATGATTGGTTAACAGCCTCACGTCGGATTTCTCCAGGATGTATCTCAAAACCGACCCAGTTCTCTGGGACTTTTTATTTAAATATTAATATTCACACTAGGCAAATTTGAAAATATTTGTAAGTGAATGAAATTTTCTAAGCGAAGAGTAGCAAGTTGCCCATTTGTAGAGCTAAATTCTTGAAAGGTCATACGGGATTTCCTGCCTGCCTGATGACGATGATGAATGGCATCACCATGAGAAATTGCACTTAATCACTTAATGCCGTGTGAAATTCGTCGCCTTCACCTCCTCCTCCTCCTCCTCCTTCTCCTCCATTCCAAAATAATCCGTACCAGATTAACTTCATGTGCAAAACTAATGCTTTAACACTTGCTGGTTGGAAATTTTAGTCGTCTCCCTCTGTCTGACTGCCATAGGTTACAAATGCCACCGTGTTGGCGCATGAGGGAGGGGGGGGGGGTAGAGGTGGCAGCATAACCATCTCCCCTTTAATGCCACCCCTCCTTCGTCCTATCGTCATAATTTATACCACCTCCTCCCCCACCCCCACATTGACCTTTGATCTAGTTAACCTGATTACTATTTAACAGGACTGGTGTTCAAGTCATCGAATGGCTTTCTCCTGGTTCTATTATCAAAAGTAGTTACACTGTTGGAAATTTACCAGAAGACGAACCAATGCTAAACATAAACGAGCATAAAATTCTCACTATTGATTTTGGATATGAACTCACGGAATTGGATATTTCGAAATTAATCAATTTTTCAGGAAGTACAGTTAAAATTCGGCCCCCTAAAGTAAAGTAATTACTAAATCCGGATTTACGATTAGTGTCTCTTTGTGCTCGTAAGGATTCCCCAGTTCTAAGTAATTTGACAGCAGAAAATTGCACTAATTTTAAACTAATGGTGATGCAGTAGTTGATGTGTTTGCCTGTGAAGGCACATATTAAGAATACAATGGCCCCATAGTTGAGAAGATTTTAACCATACTGAGTACGCTTGAGTAAAAATAGATTGGATGAAGTTAAACCCTCCACTTGGGATGTCTCTTGATGTTACCCCTTAACCACGACCAGATCCACTCGTTAAAAATATCTTCAAGGTTTAAATCCTCCTTCAGTATATGCTTTACCAACCTCAAGTCGTGTTATATTGGCAGCTATATACTCCCACCCCCGTCGTATCAGTGATCCAATCACTAGTTCAAATGAACGAAGTATTAATCTAAGTAACACCTGTTCCTTCAAATTTAAAAGAGTAAAACATTGCATAGGCCTTTCCACCCACTGCAATATAAGCAATAAATCTGATGAAATCGATATCCAACATTTGCGTGTCAATAAACAGAGTGAAACTTAACTGTGTGACTATCTAATCCTATATTACATTTGCATCATGTCAGAGATATTAAAACAAAAATGACTGTGTGTGGGGTATGCGGTGAGGTTCTAAATTAAATATGCAGTCTGTGTGCGATCGTGTATTGTTTTATGTCTGAATAGATCTGACTCATGGAGAGTGTAGTAATACAAACACTCAAACTCTAAAGATTGTGCGCCTCATCTGCCTACCTACCTATTAGGACCAAAATAAATGACTGAGTACACAAATCGCTGACTGTCCAGATACTACTCAAACGTTACATCTACACACACACACTCATATTACAAGAAAACACATAAAGAGTAATGCTTTTTGTCATGAAATATATTAGTTACCATAAGGAGAGGGGGAGAGAGAGGGGGTCGGAAGACTGAATCCGGGACAGATTATTATTGGCGCCTATTTCTAATAGGGAAACGGTCAAAATGTCAGGAAAATAAAATGTTCAAATTTTTCGGCGTAATTAGACAATCAAAAAATGTCGCTCACATAGTAGTTTGCTTGATTAATGAGATCAATTCAGAAGAGAGGTGAATTTGAAAGATTTCAAAAAAATGCGAGCGACGCCTTTAATTGTAAATTAATTGATAAAAGTGGGGCCTTCCTCATTAATGGAATTTTACGCACACTTTGGATTAGGAAATTTCGAATCTATTCTAAATTCAAATGAAACAAAAACGAAATTTTGAAACTTGAAAATTATGAATAGGAAATTGAGATGGGGTTCTTTACTGTGTGGAATAGGAGAAATACAAATATCTCTCTTTGCCAAGGCCGTCTTGTCGGACTCCATCCGTGAACTCCCTTCAGGACGTTTCGAATTAAATTGGACCGCCTTCCCCTAAAGTGGACCATCAAACAATTGGTATTGTACATGTACATGCTCTCCCCATCAGTCAAATGGATTTGTACTTTCTGTGTTGCTCTAACTGTTCATCGGATTCGTGCCCGTTTATAATGTTAGAAATAACGGATTCCGTGTCCATATGTGTAAGTCTAGCAGTCATGCGACCAACTGAGAGTGTTTTAACTTGATTTTTTAACATGAAAAGCTCCATATTATTAATACGAGTTCTGAAAATCGGTTTCCTGAATAGACTGTTAGTAAAACTTAGCTCATACAGTCTAACATCTCTTTAGCCTTTACTGCAAAATTCGACTGACTTTCATTCATATTGAATTACAAATGTTTCCAGTTGTGTAACTTCTCTCTTCACTATTTAAATTGTATCAGGTATGAGGATGGAGAAGGTGGACAGCCTCATTACATCAAACAATCGCCTCAATCTTAACATCTTCCAATAAATTCAAATCAGGAAGGGCTCAAGAAAAAGGGGAAACATCCGCAACATTGACAAAATTCTTCTTGCAATAATTCTATTTTCTTATAGCATCTGTTATAAGGCTATTAAAATTAATTAATCCTTAGCACAGAACTTTTTTTCTCAGAGTAAAAGAAAATTTTGGAAGAATATTCATCGAGGTTACTTTTAATTGGTAGGCTAAATGCTCGGAATTGTTCACGAACGTAGACGGTTGTCACTGGCCAATATGCCTGCTCCGAAATCAGGGTCATAAAATCGATGCCCATCGAATAACCAGCCGACAAGAGAACAGTGAATGAACTTCCTATCAGAATTCATAGATGTCACCCTCCTCTATTCAAATCAAAGGCTGCCTACATCCTTCTAATGGACTTTGAATATTTGAGGTTTCAGAGATCGTGTTCTCATAGAATCTATTCGAATCATAAAACCTCTACATGCACTTGTCTGGTTGGCGCAATGTTTTCCTAGAGTAAGGTATTTGGACATTATTACTAAGCATGTTATTTTAAGTTAAGTTATCGGAAGAAGAAAACACTAGATGGTCCGGAGTGAAACAGAAAGGAACTCCTTGAAGTAACTTATTTGCCAAATGAGTTCTTTTATCAAAGCTACAGACTAAAGATCAATAAATTGCTCAATACATGGGGAAGATTAAATGGTAAATAGATCTAAGTTACAACTATGGAATATATGGATAAATTATCACATAGTATGGTGGTAAATGAGCTAGAAGTCTGACAATATCCCGTCGAAATAAGCATTGAGCAGGTTGGAAGTTTTGACTGGTTCGAGCTTTAAATCATAACTAATAAGAAAGGAATAATTAAGGCTCCAACTCAAGAGGGGTCCTTAATTTTCTGGAAGGAAAAAATCAATTCTTTTTCTTTTGAAGATGAAATTTTGAAATCAATGTCCCTCACTTCCAGTTAATATGATCGTTTCTGTCGAAATCAAGTCTACGTGTGCTCGTCTGACGCTTCAGAATTTTGAGTTTGATTTCCATCGACGGACAAGGCTTTTCAAGCTTGGCCGTTAAAGGAAGTGGCAGAATTCAAATCTCCCGCAATTTCCTACCAAAGAAAGCGCCCTCCTTAATGATCTTGGGGAATTATTAAATAATTAGATTTAATTATCTTATTTTGGAAAAAGATGTGGGATGTGATTCAAAATAAATTGACAATAGTTTTTGCTGCCATTCTATCTACCCCCAAACCGCGATATATGCATTTGATGACAAAGGAGAAAGGTGAATAAGACTAGCTAATAGAATTAGGCTTGATAAAATTGAGCAAATGTTTTGAAGGTCAAGGAATAGTCACAACTTCCACAGGCCTCGATGGAGCATCAGCTAAAACTATTATATCTTAACTTTTAATCAAACAGTATTCAAAACTGGAATACCTTCCAAAACGACACCGAAGTTAATTAGCTTAAAAACTATAAACGTTGTTTTAGATATCGAGATTAAAGATACATCTGTTTAGGCTTGCTGTGCTCTGATGGTTTGCAATTTTCAGCTATCACGTTTCTGTTACACCAATATTGTGGGATTGTGAATATCGAGAAAGATCATTTTGGATTCGCAATCACTGGACAAAAATAAACGAAACGGCAAGTCTGTTAATCATAAAGTAGAAAAAACTGGAGCCCAATTCAGGGGGTGGATTAGGATGTTTAAATTTGTGAAAGTGAACCGTCTGTTTTACAATCAGAAACCGCAAATCAAATGAACATGACTCCTTGAAATCTTGACGCTGCTTTCAAGTGTCTTTTTGATCCTCTTTCCGTTATCATTTGTTAACAGAGCCCGCTATTTTCTCCTATCTAAATTTTGATTTTTTTTATTAATGTGTGCAATAATAAGCAAAATAAAAGAGTCCTTCTGTTTCCAATTCCTAAAAACAAGTATTTTCTTTTATTCTCCTTCCAATAATCTGAAAATCCAACTGAATCTTTACGTACTTAAAAAAATATTTTGAGTTCATTCAATCACATTATTACCAAATGAGTAAAGAGAACAGTAAATTTGTTCAGCTGGTGGATTTAAATAATAGAAACTCACTGTCATCCTTTTGACTGGAGTCTTGTTGTACAATTCGATTATCGAAATTAATTTGTGGGGTCGAGAGCCAAGGAGAGACGGGGAAAGGCAAACGAGTACAAAGGTCAATCGGTGAGTGATCCCTTAATGTCGAGGGACTTCCCCAATCGAATGTCTCCGAATCTCCTCCATCTTGACTTATAGAACTCCTGATGCTTGGTTCCTGCTCAAGAATATCACAAATCATAAAAGAAGGCATTGTTATTAGTCTGGCTCACCTTCAACAGGCTTTTATGGATTCCAATTTAACTTCTCAGGTTCTGATTGGTGGATAAATAAGCTGGTGATGTTATTGGCTGAAAGCGTACAAAAAACAGAGCCCTTATTGGTGGGAGTAGAATGCCTAAAGGTAGGGTGGGGATTAAATCATTTTAAAAGCGGGGGTACAAAGGGAACATGAATTTAAAATGTCATAAATGGAAAACTGCACGGCAGATTGTGAAAATGATTAAACGAACTTGTCAGAAAGGAGGAGGGAAGGTCTAGGCATTTAGTTTCGCCATTTAGCCATATTTAAAGGACAATTACTCGTTCGAAAATGTCAAACTCCATTAGAGGAGCAGTTGGGCATGCCTAAGGATAATTTTTATTTCACGGCAAACTAAAGACTATTTACAAGGCACGAAGGTCAAGTTTAACCGGCTGATAGTGAAACAGATATTTTCCTCGGAACACGTCTCGGATATTATTGAAATTGGATTTCATCAAATGGATATTATTTGCTCTCTTTTTCCAGTAAATGCGATATCAAAATTGTAAACCCCATTATGTGACCTTTAACTTAGTCTACTTGGTATAATATTATCACTTATAAATGTATCCTGCTTCCTTTAATTTATTAAGATTGTTTTCATTATTACACTCGGAAAGATTAGAACGACTTCTCCAACGAGATTCGGACAACCAATTCGCTTCTTCTTACCAGATAAACTTATTTTAGATGAGAAAATTCACCTGAGTAATTTTATATGGGGACGGTATTTCCGAATTTTACCACTCTTCCTATTTATCCATAATTTGTGTTATGCTTGACGTTAACTATCTACATGTTCTTCTTATCCTTTTCACTTTTATTCTCCAGTTATTATTTGTCACAATGTGGTTCAATTTGGTTTTATAGAAACCAACATTTGTGCAAAAAAGTCTAGATTGCTTAAAAGCTATTAGTTTTACAATGCAAACGAGCAATTTGGTTTAATCAAGGAAACAATACCAATTTATGTGTACTGGCAAATTATTTAGGATAAAATCGAGGTTTAATAAATGAATCACCCTTCTTCTCTTATCTTTTCAAGAAGTGCAAAGGAGAGCAAATCTAATTCATCAATTTTCAAAGTGACAGAATTTTCGAAGTCATTGTGCTGCAAGTTGGTTGCGTACATGAAGGCCAGTTCAATATTCGGCAGGAATGAGCTCCTCAAGTATCTTGAAGGTGTTTTAACCAAAGCGGAACAAATTTCAACCCTTGTTTCTGAGATGATTTTTGTTTCCAATAAAGAAGACAACCTTCCTTCCAATTCAGTAAATGACATGCATCGTTTTATCCAAATAGTATTTATAGCGCTAACATTAACTGATATTGTTTATTGATCAACTTGACTTACTAAGATCGAGCCCTCACTGACAATGGGTTGGGCAACCACCTAACTACATGCTCTCCGTAACAATAGTTTTAAAGTACATTAAGCACCTAGGACAAGCGGAAGATTGTTTATAAGCACAGAGGTTTAAATGTTTGACCCGTTAAGTTAAATTTTGTCAGCGGTATTTCAGAGGCATCTCATGTCACCGCTGGGGATGACATCTTAGTATTTCTTTTAATCACCTTAGTCTTTCATAAGGCTTAAAACAACTTGAACTCGGAAACTTGAGGCCCATACTTAGTCGATGCCACTGAGAAAATGCGATGCCGTCAATAGAGCAACTACATTGCTTTCCTTTCTGTAAATAACTACATGCAGTTGGAGGCCACAACATCACTACTTCAACTCGAATTCACTTGATGCGATGCGATATTAGGGAGAGGTTTGTTGGTTGTCTTAGTCAGTACTATTTGCTCAAACCAAAGACCTTCCAGGCATTATGGTTGGCGTTCTGAACAAGCCTCGTATCCATTCAATCTAATCACTTGAACAAAGGGCTTCACAAATCGCGTACCTGATACAAAAACAAGCTTATTTTTTGCACCCCACTGATCAACTAAAATTTTATAAAAACTACACCTACACTTTTTTTTCACTTGACCCCAATAAACATTTCATTGTGCTACCTAAAACCTCTCTACTCGGGACACCAATCTAATCAGCACACACTTCTAAGTGAGCAATTTCAAGATGAGGTTCTTTAAGTTCAATAACCTCAACATAAATTGGTGCACATTATTTTATAACTAGCCTAACTCGACCTTAATGTAAACTTGGTGATTCAACTGAACATGTCCCCACCAATTAACAACTTGATGAAATACACCATGCCATTAAAAATCAATTATTATTACCCATGATATAACAACCGTCATATGAAGATTACTGGTAAAGAATGGTCGAAGGCAAAGGAATGAGACCTCCCAGAATAGGTTAGCTGGAATATATGGATTCTGACCCTCTTTCACAGTACTTACACACATTTATCGATTTTACGTTGCATGCGCATTTACATGATTAACTACTCCGGCCTTAAGTATGTTAATTTTTACTTTCATTCAGCACCTGCGATGCGGCACACCTCCAAGAAAACATCGATTTTGATTGGAGTTTAAGGGGCTACTCTTAATTACTAAGCGCTGCCTTGTAGAAGCCACCTTCCAGACCAATCTGAGCATTTTACTTGACTTGATATAACTAACTGCAACATATCCTAACAATACAAATTCCAATTCTAGAAATTGGCCGAGATACATAAAGCTGATGATTTTGATATTAGTGGAACCACCTTTTACGGGTGTAAATATTTTATACACAGTAGAATTTAAAGGCACTAACAGTAGCGAAATACTATTTAGTTAATTCCATCAATTATAATAACTTTTATCTAACTAAGCGTCAGTTGGTTAAGAAACGCACCAAGACTACGAATCATAGCAATAACTGGTGTGCCTTTTTGCATATCCGGTACTCGAGAGCAAAACACTAACCCATTTACCAAATTCAATGACAAAGCGAAGTGGGAGAACACATGTTGGTCACCGAGAAGACTTGACGTTTTTAAAAACGTCTTGCTGGACAAACTTTACCACTAATATTGTCATCTAAGTTGCTTGAGTATTGCATGAAGTGTCGATTAAACCTATGTATGAATTTGGATATCGTATTCTGAACCGAGGCATGTAAAAAATAAGATTCATTAGACCACAGCGATAGTGATTTTATGAGAGATCTAAACTGTCTTCTCATTTAAAAGCACTTATAACCCTATACGCGTTTGCTGCAAACCCTTAAATAGCCTAAGTATAACTGCATAAGCATCCCCATTGCTAATGTTAATAACGATACCTCAAAATTGGAGGATTTCAGTCGAAATTAGGAGTTCTACACATTCCATTGCCACTTAATTCTGATTTTGGGAGCGTTCAACCATAGCCTGGCTTTAAAAGCAGCAGAATGATAATTATGGTAATGACCGATATTTCAGTTCCATGGATTGCATTCATTTGCAGCTCCTTAATCTCCATCCCCTCTAACGCTTCCCATGTAACCAATCAGAACATTTAATACGTATTTTAATTGCTTTTTCTTTTATTTCCATATATTCACATACATGCTGTAACGAACAAGGATAATAAGCTGATCTACTCATAATAAATAAGTAGAGGTACGAATATAAGATTTCAAGCGGCCTGAAGACAAAGGACTAAAACGACAAATTTGACATTAAGTAGCTTCGCAGAATCAATTAGATCAGGTAATAAAAGCACCCAATATCGGCATCTGTAGAATTTAAAGATGCACTTTCAATATAAAAATAACACGCACATTCATGTCGTTAACGCAATCATTTAGGCTACACACTGGGATCATAATACGACTGAAATAGATCAGACCCAGACAAAAGCGCAGAAAAACCGTGACACAGCAAAGCTTTCACTTTATTAAATACAATGTTCTGTTACAAAAATTAGATATAAGATATTGATTAGTTAACTAGTGCAGTATTGAAAATACTTGGTTCCAATTCAGAGACAGCAGGAATAGTAATCCGAAAAATCTATTGACTGAGTAGCGAACTCCGTCCGATTTCCAAAGTTCAACAATAATTAGGCAAGTACAATATTAAACATTATAGCGCAAATAAATAAACTTTTTCAACATTCAGACTTTAAAATATGAAATATTGAAAATAAATATTCATTCAAGAGTATATTCACACTTCAATGATTTATCAACCCACCAAAATATTGGATAGAAGACTGTAGAAGACCAAATGTCTGAAAATATTTCGATTACTGGATATGCACGCAAAAACAGAGCGTCACTTGGAATTAAAATAGGAGCATAGCACATAAATCCTCAAATTTTAAAAGGCATTAAAATGTAATAACCTTTTCTTAATGTTCAAGAAACATTAAACAAATAAAGAGCATTCAATCATAAAGTCAAATTAAATTAAGAAATCCAAACCATTTTCGATATTCAGAAAAGATTAAGCCGTAATACATACATAGGCGTATGCATGTAAATAGCGACTTAAAGATACCGACTGTTAAGTCTATAGCGTAATACGACCAACCAAATGCTTCTTAGAGCAATGAAAACGGATTCCATCACAATAGCTCTAAAAGTTCCGTTACTAGAATTACACATTAATCATGATTTGCTCACAATTGAAGCATGGTAAAATGGAATAAATAAAAATGGATTACATTAAGAGCCGTTTACAAAAAAAGAAGCATTAAATTATAAATTCGAAGCCGTTAAAAAACGAAATATCAAGAATTATCAAATCTGAACCATCTTGAAGAACCGTAATTTCTGCAGAAGGGATATCTATTACTGCACATATATAAGCATGTAATTTTACACTGCTTTAAATATCAACCGCATAAAACATTAAAGATAACAAAATTTTCTAAGATAGGACAATCCATCAAATACAAATAGAATTTTGACGCAAGATAAAGCATTTAATCTAAGCTCACACATTTTCGATTTAACCTCCTCAAAAACCGCTTTCCGGAATGTGACGTGGGCTAAAAAACAAGTTAGGAAACACTTCCATTAAGCTCATTAAGAATAACGGCCCAAGCATAAAAACATAAATATATGAAAAAGCATTAAAGTATGAAATCCATTAATATTTAAATTCTATTTGTTAGTAAAACAGAACATAAACCAGATGTAGAAGATGGTGCATGACGATACAGGTCATTAACATGAAAAGTAAAAACACACTATTATATGTAGTGCTTAATTTTCTCCTTCACCAAGAGGTGAAGAGTCCGAACTTGGAGACTCAGAGGGCGGTGTAGCAGGTGGCTGATGATGAAATTGCCTTTCGGAATCATCTACGCCACTCCTTGGAGACGGTGAACCATGATTATCATTATTAATCGATTCCTTAATTCCATCATCGACAAACCTACCTCCAGCACGGCAATCATCGTCACTCAACTCTGAGGAAGACGTGCCACCGTGATTTTGGGGCACATTTCCAATATCAGTAGAGAGGTGATCAACCCGCTCAGAATAATTGGCTCCCTCTTCTTCCTCTTCAGGAGTTTTAGGGGGCTGATGGCGGACCGAGTCTGGTTCTTCAGTAGCGGCTTGTGGTCGAGACAAAGGAGAACTAGGTCGTTTGCTAAATGCAGAAGCTCCATTACTTGCCAAGTAAGCGGCTTCTTCTGCTTCAACAGCCTTAACATCAAACGAGGTAGGTTCAGATAATTCCGTATCGACGGCTGTGACGTTGGGTGCAGGCACTGTGACGACGCGTGGTGTGTTAAGTTGCGGACCACGGCTTATTTGCATCGGAGGAGCGGGGTAATTAATCATACTCTGACCTGCCCGATCATCAGATATTGGCTTAGGACTGAATGCCAATTTTAGATGGAATGGGTGAGCGAATCCCGCAATGTGTATTGGTCTGTGGTTGGCAAGAGCGAGTGCATCTAATGACTCTCCAACAGTATCCCATTCAGCAAGGCCTAAGACACAAATATTAAATAGATGATCATAGTTATCAGGAAAAGATTGTCAGAACTAGGACTAACCAAGAGAAGTCTTTTGGCCCGGTTTAGCAGTAAACACAACAATACGCGGAGGACGTTTCACACCACAATCAGAAAACACTTGGCACATATCTTCTGGCGAAAAATTAAGTGGTGCATTGAAGAAATGCAAAGTTCTAGTTGGAGCCAAGATTCGGCTCTTAGCGGCAACCACGGCGTTCCTAAACCGATTGTTTGAATCAGCTGAAACAGAAAAGCGTTATAATTTACATAACAAAATTAACTCAATTAAAGCACTCACTTACTCATGTAATTTTTCATTACGGGTGAACCGTCAGATAAAGTGCCCAGACCAGCGTGTTCTTGTACTTCAATTTGTTCACTTGGGTGGAATTGGAGAGCCTGCCCAAATACAAGAGCTCCTTCCAAATACTGTTGAACTAATTCCGCAGATTCCTTAGCACCCATTTGCACAATGGCACACCCCGGTCGACTTTTGAGGAACTTAATTCTAGCAATATTGCCATATAGACAAAGCAAATTGAAGAGGTGGTCGCAATTGATGCCTTCAGGGATGTTACTTACAACTAAAACGACACCTCTTTCAGCATGGAAGATAGACATATCCGTATTTCTGGCTGCGGCAACGGATGTTGAATTGAGATTAGATGTGGAGTGACCAACACCAATACCTGCAGGAGTTACATGATGTACCGGTGGCGGGGTAGGCATTATCTGAGGGGTAGTTCTAACAGTGGCTGGCATTTGCTGTTGCGCTGTCATCGCTTGCTGCTGAGCCGGCTGTCCTGGATAGTAAGAGTACCCCGGTTGTTGATAATATGGCGGCATTCCTGGCTGGATGCCGTAGGGCATTGGAGGAGCCGAATAAGTAGATATTGGTTGGCCTGGCATCATTTGAGGATAATAGCCTGGAGGTTGCATATACTGACCAGGCGGCATAGCGTAACCATAATAAGGTTGTTGATAGGGCATAGGGGGGACACCTGATCCTGGAGGAACACCTGCAATTGGAGGTTGAGTAGCGGCCTGCTGTTGAACACTGCTGGTTGAAGTCTGCGTGGTGTCGGTGTGGCCGTTAGTTGAGTTAGGCAAAAGCGTTCGCTGAGCTGTAGGAGCATTCGCAAGTAATCCCTCCTTAGATTCGGTAAAGTCCCACTGCTGCTCATCATTCTTGGTTACATGAATTTTCTTCATTTTAGAATATGCAACTGAAAGACTGCAACAACCATAGTAAATATCAGCACCATCCAGATGTTCTTTGGCTTTATTTGCCTCATCTACAGTAGCATACTCAATCAAAGCCTCTAATGACTTATCAGGATTAGCACTTCCAATATAGATGCGTTGCAAATTACCATGACGAGAGCCAATAGCCTTAAGTACAGAAACAGTGATAGGATATTCGACATTTTTTATATCCAAATGAAGAACATTATTTGGTGCTGTATCTGTAGCCATACTATTTTCATTCAACTGAGGCTTTGTTATTGTGGCTGGTGCTGTAATTGTTTGAGAGGAGAATTCAAGGCGAACTCGATACATGCCGATAGCGAAGGGGTTTATTTTTGCCCAGTGTACTAAACGAGTTGGTGTAGATATTTCAGGAAATTCAACTAAAACAGCACGTCCATTACTGACCTTCTGAATATGCTTAACTTGACCACAACGAGAAAATGATTCATATATTTCATATTCAGTACAATCAGGGGGTAGTTCAAAAGCAACAATCGTGCAATTTGGCTGAGTGGTAATTAAATAAGATAAATCAGCCGAGAGTTGAAAGCTTGAAGGGACGGTACCCGTAGTATTATAATATTGGGCCGTGGCCACGGCAGCTGTGTCAATTTTAACCCTCTTGGGCGGATGGGACATGGCTCGTACAGAAACGGGAATAGGACCCGCCTAAAGAGAACTAAAACAAGATGTCCAAAATATTTAAAGCTACAAAATGCAAACAGAACAGCATTACAAACAATGACAAGACAATTTTATTTTATTGAAATGTGATAAATTAACTGATTTGACGATTACCTGCATTATGTTTAAATATAATTTCATTACTTCTGACAAACGATGAACATACACATATTGAATCCATAATGAAATATTTTGTGAGCCGTGTGATTGTCTAGATAATAAAAGCAGAGATTTAAATTAAATCGAAGTATTATGCTAAACCAAATCTAAACACATTTTTCAAATTAAATCGGATACTCATCGTTTCATACTATTATGCGTGAACTGAACATTTAAAGGGCATGCAACAAAATGAGGTGCCCTATGAATGTAACTATTCGACAAGTCTTTCTAGTTTGAGAACTTCATTTGGGTTTAGGGTAGCTAAGTTCCCATTATGGCTAATTCGAATTATTGACTGTTATTATAACCTATTGGCAATAAATAAGAATTCAATTTCGACAAGTCATCAGTCAATGCGAGTTCCTAAAAGTGATGTGTGCTCAAATTGAAAATTTTTGCTTAAAAGATCAAAGCTTCTTTAGTGTATAAGTCGTGTACAACCAATTCACGCATGTCCCTTTAATCGTTTTTGAACTTTAGTCTCATAGTTACATTTTATGTTAACTATTATTTGGGAATGATATCATTAGCAGTGTGGAGCTATTTTTGTTCCACCAACATTAAAGCACTTTTTAGTTTAATGCAATGCATTCAGCAAATTTACAATCATCATTTTTGATGCAATCTCCTTCTTCACTTTGAGTCAACTGCAACCCAGTGATAATTCAGTGGCTAATGTATCACAGCGACTGACAAAAATAGATAGGGTAAAAGTTAAAAAATGTGGACAGTTGAAAAATGCTTGAAATTTTATATTCAATTGGTCAATACTTAATTTTGCTGATCAAAAATAAAATGAACATTGAATACAATTTTATTACAGACATTCATTTGACCTTTATGACACATTCAGTTACACAAGTTATGCTTATTAACGATTTTTAATTTATGACATCTATCTGTTAACCAATATATTTATATGCTTAATAAACAAATTTTAGCAATAAGATATTTCGCAATGTTGTAACTTTTGCAAGAAACTAATCAGAATAAGCATAGTTACAAATTGGGTGTCAATCGCTAACGTATCTTGTTGTAATGTTAGACAAATATCATCACTTTATTTCAATTACAACAGTTCATCTTGTGGTTTTAATGAAACCTGGTGTTGTATATGATTACTAAATTTCATTTAATTAAATAATGCAAGTTACAAACTTTCGCAAAATTAAAAATCTTTATGTATTTTTATTCAATTTAACAAAGTTAATATGATTTCTAAAATTTTTGGGAAAATATTTGCTATTATTATAAATTGCTTGTATTACCTGCATAATGCTGTTAATACTCCTAAGGATTCGAATCTTATTGGTCAATTTCTTAAGTAAAAGAACACATCGTTGAGGTTTTTAGCCGGGTCCTTTTGATTTCCACGCAGTGTTTTTGACCGAATCATGCCAGGTCCATTTGAAGAGCGTACATTTATTATGGTGAAACCGGATGGTGTCCAACGAGGACTTGTTGGTGAAATCATTAAACGCTTTGAACGACGAGGCTTCAAACTTGTTGCCATGAAGTTCATGCATGCAGATGAGGCACTTCTTAACAAACACTACGAGGCCCTCAAGGGAAAACCATTCTTCAACGGTCTTATCAAGTACATGTCCTCAGGACCTGTTGTCCCAATGGTCTGGGAAGGCAAAAATGTAAGTCCACTTTCGTACCATTGTTTTGGTCTATGAAAATCTAACCGTTTTTCCTCTTTCCAGACTGTTGCTCTAGGACGTATGATCCTCGGCGAGACCGATCCTGCAAAAAGCCTTCCAGGCACAATTCGTGCTGATTTTGGTCAATGCGTTGGCGCAAATATTGTTCATGGATCTGATGCCGTGGACACCGCTAATCGTGAGATTGCTCTTTGGTTTAAACCAGATGAGCTTGTTGACTACAAATCCAACGTGGCTCCGTGGGTTCATGCTGACTAAATTTGCAATCTGACAAATTTGTAATTCAAGTAGTAGATCTTGAAACATGTAATAAACATTTTCATGCACCATAGTGATTTTTGGGTCAATTCGAATGTACAGTGTTTGGTTTTTTTAGCGCTCAAATAATGTTTTGTATGCCACTGTTCTGTGTATTATTGCAATTCTTCGTGATTTTCTTGGCAAAAACTTCCGACAAGTTTTGATGGATGAGAGTCAGAATCTAAGCCAACTTGTTATAACAATCCTTGGTTTACGTGTTGTCATGATCTAGACAGTTGTAATAAAGCAATCTCTCTTTGATTTTGTCCATGTATGTCAAGACAATAATAAGGCAAGATATTTAGTTTGAACGAGAGGTATGTGCCTTTCTGTGTAACACTTGCTTAAATCCAGTATCAGATTCGAAATTTCTACATAGAGGCATTGTATTTCTTGAAATTTCGTCTCCTTGGGATTCGATGAAATTTGCTGCTGGGGCCTAGCTTTCAAGGAAAGTGGCGACAGGTGTCGTTTATAAAGGCTGAAGATGAGCCCTCTATTCAACTTCTTTTTTGACTTATGGAGCCGTTGGCGTTTTCGGTAGGGCATTTGCATTTGCTTTCTTAACATAATTACCCGAATATGCACTCTGTATCCAAGTGCGAAAGTTACTTTTGCTGTAGGTACATAGTATCGTGCTCTACAGCTAATAAATATAAGTGGGTTACCATAGTGAGCTTGAAAAATCACGGGTTTATCTATTTTTTCACATTGTGCTTTAGTTTTAAAAACAAACACATGCTACCTTGATGAAATCCACTGATTCATGGATCATTAATAAGCAAATAAGTAATGGGATTAGTAGCCACTTCAAATGTGAATTATTTTAACAGAAGATGCTTAAATTTTCGTTATTTTACCTCACAAAACTGAAAAAATAGACAAGGGTGGGTCATGATGTTATCAGACGAATTCCATAATTTTTTTATTCAACAAGTGTTTTTGTTCATTTTTCTATATTGGCTCCATTGCAGTCTATACACTAAATTTTAGTGTGGCAGAATTTTGGGGCTCTCTATGACATGAAAGTTCGTGCTTTTTCGCTTCATTTAAAGACGTAAATCGGGTGCCTTTAAGGTGCTCATTGAGTTCTAGAAACAGGAACCAACTTGGAGGAAGGGGAAGCGTTTCCCATCGAAATTCGCTCAACAGGTTCCTGACAGCTCTTGTTGAATGCGCAGATGCATTGCCATTATGAAATAAATTTTGGCTATGTAGTTTCACATCCCGTTTTTTGTCGAGGGACGCCTTCAACTTCACCAAAACGCTTTGATAATAACTTCTGGAAAGTCTATCAGTATCACTTCTTTTGAATCCTCAAAAATAATGACCATAGCCTTCTTAACGGACATTTCAACTTTGAACTTGACAGGTCCAGATGTTCCCTCTGTATGCCACTTTTGAATGAATTTCGCTTTCTGGTAGATCCAGGCTTCAACCCCGGTAACACAGCGCGCAAAAAATTATCCCGCTTTGCTTCCAACTTTACCAAAGTTGCCAAAGAAAGTTCTGTTCATTGGATCAGTTTTTGTTCCTGCAACGGTTTTGGAACCCTCCATGCCCACTGAGAGCTTGATCGAGTCAAGATTTTCAGTGAGAATTAAAAATACTTTTCAATGTACAATTCCTACTTCATTGTCAATTTCCTCAATGGTGCCTAGCCGATTTCGTTCCACTAGGTTCTACACAAGAAAAATGTTTTCTTGATTTCTTGCAGTGGTAGATCTCCCTTGTGTGCCGTCATCAAATTACACTTTCCCCTCTTTAAAGCCTTTAGTCCAATCATAAATGACTACTCTACATGGCACAGAGTCTCCATAAATCTGATGTCGAGCTTCTATGACCTGAAGAGGTTTCCAATTTATTTTATTTAAAAATTTTAGGTTAGCCCTAATCTCAAAATCTTCCATTTGAAGGTTTGAAAATTGGTAGCTATTTCGAGATGCAACCTGTCTTGATGCTGACCTTGTATAGAATGATCGATCAGTTATGTTATTATGGCAGCTCTAAAGGCATGTTTGAACTCGTAAAAACTTTGTTCTATCTAAAGTTGTGGCATCTGTCTAAAAACTTTTCAACTCACCCAAGTGCATTATGGCATACGTGACTACCTCTCGCTACCTTGAACTGGCAGGCCATTAAGACTTCAAGTTGGGTGTGTCAATTTGCATTATTCTACCTTATTATATTGACAAAATAGATATTACCGCTAGATGTCGCATACACTATTTCAATGGCACTGTGGCATACGTGACTACCTCTCGCGACCTTGACTGGTGGGCCATTAAGATTGCACAACCGTTTGCTTCCTAAATCGGCCAATCCCTACCAGTACAAATAATATTAGGAGTACATAGGCTTAACTAACCTTCTACCACTATAATTGACTAACGATGAGTCGGTTTAAAGACGTAGGGATGGAGAATAGCGTAAGAAAACAAAGTCTAGCCGACGATCAATGCTGTGTATGTTAAGATCTTAACTCTAAAGCACACATTTGAATTGAAGTAGCATGACAAATCATGAAACAAAATCAGCGTAAACACAATCTGGGAGACAAATGATAAAGATCTCTTTATGAGAATATGGACAAATCCATGTTCATAAAGCTCCTCATCTACTTACAGTTGAGTCCCCCCCCCCCTTAATCCAGTTCATACCTTTCGTAGCGCCTATGTCCCCTAATTCAATGGTATGCGCCTTCCCGCTAGCAGTCAATAAACGAAGACCTTGAAACCCGTCTCTCCGCCCCCACCCCCTCTCCAAATATGCGTCATTTTGCCTTTACACCCAGTACCACTGTCATGTTCGCAGTTTAAGCTAAAATCCACCCTCCACCTTGTCCGGCTCAAATTTGGTTTCTTGACAAGATAAACAAGCAGATAGATGATTATGATGTCCCGATTTGAAGTAAAAGGACTTTCAATATGAGAAAATTAAGAAAATTTGCTATTTTGAGGTTTAATTGGAAAGGAATCCGCTGATTGGGATTCTGGTAATTAATCGGCCCGCGTTTTCTTATTCAAGTTTCATTTGTAAAGAGTGCATTATATTGGGGGCTTGGTAAAGTAAAAAATTGATTTTGTTGTAGGATTTATCATTTGAACCTCACTTTCTTCCACATTGAGTTGAAGCTGTCTACATTCGGTTAGAGGGGTTCCTGAAGGTGTCCGATTTTCCTAGAGGTCTTTTCACTTCTTCGTTTTATAATTAGATTTCCTAAAGAATCAGAAATGGGGAAATTCCGTAATCAGCATGCAATTTGATGCTCTACCCGAAAACAATTAGGTTTAGAGCAAGCGGGTGTAAAGACAAAAAATGATCGATTTTACAGATCCCAGGTGTACTAATTGCGTGATGTAAACAGTTGGATCAATGCAAGTCCTTCGGAATAAGAGAAAACATGTATTTGAATGATAGGCGAGGTAATTATTAAATAAAGTTGAGAAAATATAGTTTTAGCAGTCAGTTTATTAATTATCTAAAAGAGAACGATCACACTACTTATTGGGTAAAACGGTAAGCATGGAATCAAAATATTAATAAATTGTATTAAGCAAATTAAATGAATCAACAAACTATATAAAAGCACATTATATAAACAGCGCTTTAAATATACATAACTTAATATAAATTTAGAAGAAAATTCTTTGATTTCATTATTACTTATTGACTTATAACTGCTATTTCCGAGTCGCCATTTAAAACACAGAGAGGAGGCTTGGGTGCAACTAAAGGGGTGGACATTTTCGGACGAGAAAAGGAACCAGGATGTACAGAAAACCTCCAGGATCTTTCGAGAGATTGTCGATAGAATGATTCTCGAATGGAATCCTCCACTCTTCGCCGAACTGACAGATAAGCTCGAATGTGATATTGGATTGCCAGTCCGAACCAGAGGAGAAAAACCAGAAGTAAAATGATGGAGATGGATAAAAGTACGGCGAATTTCCACGAACCCGATCCCTCGATATTAAAGAAGTGTAAACTCGTTGAAATACAAAAATACACACCAAAACACGTAACTGGGGTTAAAAGGGCTAAGAAAATACAGTCGGTAACGATTCTTCGTTTCGTCGAGCGCGAATGCAACCATTCCTCGAGAAAGTTGTGCTGACTGATTTCAGCACTCATTGAGTGTCTTAGGGACGTTTTTTCCTCCTCATCTATGGGAAGAGGTGATTTCTGGCGGAGTTTATATTTGTAACCACAAATTTCACAACTTATCGTCTGAGAAACTTGAAGCCATCTCTCCAAACAGGATTTGTGCAGAAGTCCTACTGTGCCTCTACATCGACAGGGTGAGATAAGCGTATTTGAGGTTCCGTCATAACAGATTCGACAGTTACTGGGCCTCTCAATGATTTCTGATGAATCAAAAGTTGTATTTACGGAGCTTTCGCTAACACAACTGCTAGATCGACTCAAATCAGGACCCAGAACAGAAACTTCACAATTCAAAGGATTGTTTGACTTTCTTAGAAGATCCGAAGCGTTTGATACCCGAGGAGTGATCATAATATCAGCACAGTACAAGTTATAAAATGCTTATTCGAGAAATCTAAGTATATTAAAATCAGTCAGATGATATCGAATATGAGCTGGATCTATAAACAACGCAAAAGTGCTCATTGATTTGAGTTCGGTTTCTAAAATGCACTGTTTTCTAATTGCGATGGAGTAGGACTCAATTTTAAAACAATTTTAAAGTTTATGAGTTAGCATCGTCTACTTAAAAGAAATCACAAATTCCGTCGACTCATACTTGTGCGCTTTCCACCTTACCACAGCCCAACTTCACTCAGATACCATTTGCGCTTTGAACCCAAACATGGTTCACCAACAGTCTATCGAAGCCAATGGAGCATCGATGGAAAACCCGATGCCTACTTTCAATCATTCAAGTGGGATGAATAATGTATCAAAATGTGAAACCTGAACATTGATGAGAGTTCAATCGGAGCTCATATAAACAATAAAAGCGGGTGTGCGATAGACTTACCTCCACGTGGTACACCCTGGCCAGTGTATACTCATACTACAAAAAAGTTTATTAACCGGCAATTGACTTCTCACTTCAAACTACCCTCACCCCAATGTATGTCATATTTGAATGCTTCCACAGTACCCACCTCACTTTTTTTCCACCATTTTGTCTGATTCTTTTACATCCTTGAATCACTTTTCTGTTCCCCTCTCGAATTCTTCTCACTTTGATGTTCCTACCATCTGTGAAGCCCGAAGCCATTTTAAGAGCTCGTGATAACTATCAAAATACCTGTCATTTGATACAAATAAATAAATGAATAAGATTTGATTAGACTACTGATGGCATTGTTCCGATGAAGTAATACAGGAAGCAGTCACTTCAAGCCACCTTATTGGCTAATCAAAGTCTTCATTTTTATGACATTTGGAGATTATATCAATTGTCAAAGTGTTAGGAACGCTGTGCGAGCACACATTGACGAAGATTTTGAGCAGACTCAAAGCCAACCTATGGGAACTGATTACCCTGAGACATATTCCAATAGGGACACTTCAAGCTTAGTTTTGTCGATTTTCATCAAGTACTATTTAGATGCCGACCGTTTCAGAACTTACTAAAGTGAGGCATTAAGAAGTTGTGTTTGTACAATCAAACGACACATTACTACCTTCCCGTTCTGATCGACAGCGTGAAACATTACCTTGTGGACAAAAAATAACATTGACTTTTGCAAATTAAACAGCTGAATGAAACGACCGAATGACTTTCGTCTCTCCCTCGCCCTCTCTCACATTCACATCTTACCCTTTATTCTGTTGCGAATAGTTGAATGGAATGTTTTACTTTTATGTGGTCAAAATTGAATGAATGCTAAGTATTGTCCCTCTTTTTTCAAAAGAAAAAGTTATTTTTGTAATTATTTTACGCATCAAGCATTCAAATACTTTTGCCTATAGCAATCTTAAAACCTGATGTAAATGCTAGTTCCACTGGAGTCACTTCTGTTTTCTATTAACTTAAATAGAGGCTGGATGGTTACAATTGACATCAGGTGCATAAATAAAGTTGTTTGAAATGGAGGGATAATCTAAAACGTTGCAGTTCGAAAAAAAGCTGTGTTACATTTTCATAGTTAATAACACCTGGTTGGCACAGTAGCCGTTTGACGATGTAATTAATTCAAAGTGGTTAAACGCGAAAATGAAAGGACAAGATAAAATGAAATTATTTTCGCAGTAATTAAATTCACTAAAATGGCATCTAAAATTATTTAATTGCCAATAGCATTTTTTGCATTCATAGTAAGACTTAAGTAAAGGCAATAAATAAAAAAGCGAAAAAGACGACAAATGTTAATTTTAACCCAAAGGAAAAAGAGCGAACATGAGAAATAGTTCAGTGAAGTGAATGGTGATGCTCCAGAGGAAGAATAAGGTAAAATCGAAACATTCATGTTCTTCTTCATTTGAACACAGAAAGTAACAAGTGCTGACTTGCAGTGTTCAAATGTTCTGGAGTTCAGTTTTCAGAATTTAATCTCCAATTAAATTGGCTTTAATCAATAAAACTTTATCCATTGACCAATCCAATATCCATTTTCTAATTACTTGAGTCAGGTTCATAGTTGGAAGAAAACGGTCAAAGATAATCGAAAGTCGGGCATAAACATGTAAATTAGATAAATTAAGCAAGTTCCCTCCTGGAATACAAAATTATATCAAAATACAGTTCGAAAGTTGCACCGAAAAAGACTGTTTTATAGGCATTTTTGAATGCACGATTTTGATGTATAATGGTAAAGTTTTGGCTTTTACAAAATTACGAAAAAAAAAACTCTAAGGCTGAAGAAATGAACCCGAAACGTGTGATCTGAAACGAGGCAAAAGAATTAATAACCAATGAACAGGGCAATCGAAAATAAAGCAAAATTAGCTGTTTCTTCGAAGGGCTTATGGCAAAGTGAAATTAAGAAACATATTGCATGAAATTACACATATTTGTGTCTTTTTAAGGAGTGCCAAAAGGGGAGACTATTTTCCCCAAGGACTTCGAGCGATTGAGAGAGCAATTCAAACAACGTAACCTTTGCAGAGATAAAATATCCAGGAGCTTTCCGCCCCCCAATTGAGGTCAAAATACTAGTTGCAGTTGGTCATCCATATAAATAGGTGGCCGGTGAGGGCCGATTCAACTCATAAAGTTTATGGAATTTTATAATTTCAGCTTGAAAGGAAATTGAAATTAAGAATTTGGACACTAAATGTGTGAGGCTGGCATGAAGTTTCACAGGCCTCTCCTTCCACGCTACCCATGTCTTAAAATTATGCAACGAATTGTCAAATTCATTGTTTGAATAATTGTTGGTCGTATTACTTAAATCGGTTGCTATATTCGTCAACGCTAGGTACTGGGGAAGGGCACAATAGGCCTCTCTGAATACTATAAATCTTAGCTAATCAAATTATGACGACTTTAATGGAAAACAATATGAGATATGCAGAGAGAAATCAGTCAAAACAAGTCGTTATATCTCAGGGTGAATTTATAACGGTAGTGGGTTCCAAGATATTGTAATAAAACTCATTAAAACTATAACATTTTTGATCACTTAATTCATATTTCGATTTCTTGAGATATATTTTTCTGTTGGTGGTGCAGGAAGATTCCTAATTGAGAAGAAATTGTAATATGTTGAATTGGATTGAAAATGGGCAGCGATGTTTCCGATGAGTGACGGGAAGCAATCCAAAGCGCATAGTCGGGCGTGTTTCTGTTTCTGGAAGAAGGTTGAATTCAAGCGGAAGCAGATACCAATTTGCTCTCATTCACGAGAGTTGGTACATTTACAACGAGAGAGAACTAATTCCAAAATCGTTAAGAAGTCAATTTTGCTGACGCAAATTGGCAGACCGGACTTATTAGATTGCAATAGTTATACGTAATTGAAGTCTTGTTAATCAAAGAAGCGTTAAAGGTATGTAAACACGTAGTAGTATTTTACTTGCAGGCAACGTTCGCTACGGAGTAGTCCATTTTATGTTGGGCATACAAACAGTAACAATGAACCCTAAAGCGGTAAGTTAGGCATTCTCTGCTTTTAACAAGGACCACTGCTTTTATCTGTCTTTATTGTGCTCAATATTAATGGTTTTATAAACATCACTTGGCCATTAGTGATGCAATTAGGACAGTTTAATCATTCAAAAAATGATATGTTTTCGAAATTCAACAAGACGAGTGGACGGAACACAGTAAGTTAAAGGCTTACTCTACCTTTCCGCAACCCCCCCCCCTTCGGGCTAACCACAAGACATCCCATCTTGGAATAAATCGACCATGGTGGCTTGAAAGCCCACGTGTGACCTTAGGAATGACGCATAATTCAGAGTTCTACTAGGTTAAGGATACTGGAAGGTACCCACTTTATGGCTGCTGGTTTTGCAAGGCATAAATATTCGCTCTATTAGCTCCCATTTAATTGATTCTACTTTATGATTGAAGATCAGTATTGGAGGCAAATCACTTTAGTCACGCATAGTTGAATGGGGAGGGCCATGAAAAGCTTATTTTCTCATCAGGAAGATCAATGCTTCTCAAATTTTCCTTTTATGCTGGTTCGAAATTGAATAGTTCAATTTTCATTTTGTTCAAATTTGGTTAATCTCATTACCACCTTCATGGGGAAGATTTGGATGCCATGATTCCATTTGTTCTTGGTTCTTGACGCTGATTCNCCCCTCCCCCACATGAAGCACGATAATCAATAATGACTTACACCGCCTAATCTCTAGATGTTTTCGAAATAGCACTTGCGCTTTGGAAACAGCAGGGACATTTTTCTTTAGGCCAGAGAAGAGAAAATGCCTTTGTCCATTCCCTCCCCCCCCCCACTGCTGTCGCAATGTCTCGGCTTGTCAAATTACTGCTTCATCAATGGCCATATATGTACATATTATAGTTACTAACTATTCCTATTCTATTTATCATATGATTCATGGATTTCTGGATGATATTCAGAGTCAATTGGCCAACTAAAAGGCAGTGTTAAAAGGGCATATTGCCTCTATGACACCCATCGGCAATATTAATAACCCTTAAGTGATTGAAATTTAGCTTAGATCTACACAACAGCTTTTCTTATTCAGCCATTATTCATTTCACAAATGACCTTCCTTTCTAATTCCATTGGAACTCAAGGATTCTATATTAGTTTCTTAAACTCCATTTTTATATAATGCTCTGACATTTAAACTTGCGCTCTTAAAAATTAAGGATTGCAAAGCGTAATTGGAATATATATAATTTCATTCTGACATGTTAATGGTTTATTTGTCAATAGCGAACTTCAGGTACAGTGATGGATCCACTCAACAAATTTTTTCATTAAGTAGGTGTGTGCTATAGATTTACCTCCACTTGGTGCACCCTGGGCAATGTATACTCACGTCAAAAAAATCTATAAACAGGCAGTTGACTTCTGACTACTATGACCCAACAGTTTGTCGTATTACACCACTGCACAGTACTC